CTGCACGAACAATAGAGATGGTTTCTTCTAGTGAAGGAGTATCCTTTCTCCCTAGAATTTGCACTCTAACTTGATCAAATTCAGGATTTAGTCCTGCAAGAAAATCATACACACGATCCTTCTCTATGAAATTCTTCAAGAGGATTGCATCCTCAGCACACTTCATTTCAAAAACTTTGTAGTGATCAAGTTTCTGCAATAGATTCTGCAACAGTGTCGCATATTCTGTGATTCCTTTGCTCCCTGTTTTGTGGCTGCAATTTTTATTTTGATTTCATATACTTGGGCAGCGTCATTGGCTTTAGAATATGTGCGGTTTATGGAGTCCCTAATATCTTTAGCTGTATTAAGAAACATACAAGTGTCTCTGATGGTAGCTTCCATGGAGTCCCACAACCAAGACATAATCATGGAATCTTTTTCATCCCATGTTGCGAATGTTGGATCCTCCATGCTTGAACCATTTTCAAGGAGATGAACCATGCATCCTTTTCCCTTGAGATAGGTTCTAACAAACTAGGACCATTTGAGAAATTTTTTTCCATCCAGCCTATATGAAGCTCGGAGACCTTGGAGTTCTCCATTTTTGTGTGAAGAACTAGAGATTTCTCTACTTGATGTAGCAATTGTAATCGGAGGTTAGGTTAACACAACGGAAAGAATAACAACAGCAATTAAGGCTACCCCTTTTTTTTGGACGAGAATGGCAATGAAGGCCAGCAATAGTTGAGGAACGACAATGAAGGCCGTGAGACAAAAAAACAAAGACCAGGGCTCCAGGAAAAAACTTAGAGCTCTGATACCATGTTGAAAACAAAAGTAGGATGCTGGAAATAATAATTCTCTCATTCATACTTTTGAAACAATACATAGGTGTTTAAAAAGAAACAAACCATTGTCTACATAAGGTAAAAAATCTCCTGAAATAAAGTCTCTAAATTGGGAGATATCCACCCAATAATACCTAATCTTAATAAAAGGAAATTTGCCCAATAATTACTAATCCTAATCCCTTAATTTTAGGGATTACACATAATTGCTATATTAATTGTTATATTTATTGTGTAATAAATTCACATATTCTGACAAACGGTTCCTTCTATAGGGGTGGTTTTTTTATTGTTGTTTCAGAACAGGTGCTAACCTGTGTGAAGGGAACTCTTCCCTTGGACGCTATTGAATGTTTTTAGACTTGTAATCTTGTAAATCTATCTATGTAATTGTTGAATGTTTAATTTGAGTGTTACTGCAGTATTAATCATATAATTTGAATTCTTGAACTCAAGAATTTCTAACAATTTGGTTCGACTTGCCGGATCAGTCAAACACCATGGAGAGTAGAATGAGTACATTAGAGAGAGCTTTTGAGGAGAATAGAGAGGAAACTAGGGCCAACTTTCAAAGGTTCGGAGAAAGGAAGGAGGATATCTTGCAAAGACTCAAGAACACGGAAAGAGAGTTAGATGGAAGTAGAGGTTGTGTATGGAGATAGAGTGGGAAGAAGAGAAGAGGTTGAGGAGGAATGGGAGGAAGATAAAAGGGAGAGCCAGCGAGGATGGATGAAAAGGGTGGAACTTCCTTCTTTTGAAAGAGGGGATTCCATTGGGTGGATAAGTAGGGCTGAAATTTTTTTTTATGTGCAGGAGGTTTCACCTCGGGAGAGAATCAAGTTGGCCTTTATCGGTATGGAAGGCAAAGCTAATCATTCGTTCAATTTTTGGAGGAAGAAAACCAAAACACCGACGTGGGAAGAATTGAAGGAAGCATTGATAAGAAGGTTTGGAGGAAGGGATAGATCTTCAGTATTTGAACAATTGGCTGCTGTCAGACAACAAGGAGAAGTGGAAGACTATATACAGGAATTTGAGATGTTAGCAGGCCAAGCAACAGACCTGACAGATGAACAATTGTTGGGGTATTTTTTTGCAAGCTTGCATATTAATATTAGAAATCAGATCCGGCAGCACAATCCCAAGGATTTATTGAGAGCCATGAAGATCGCTAGAGATGTGGAAGGAGTTTCTAGTGAGATAAGGTCAAGGGAGAGAACTACAACTAGAGGTAATTTGTATCCTAGCCGTTTTCAAGGGATTGGAGGAATAGTTTCTCGGGTAGAAACGGTGAAAGAAAACCGGACTGAACCAGGAACTTCCAGTCATGTTAGCACGGTTAAAAGAAATGGCAGGGGAGTAACCATGGAGTCTAAGGTGGGCGGTACACATACAGGAGAAAACAGAACTAGGGGATGGCGAAATTTACCTTATCCTAAATATGTCAAGCGACGGGAAGAGGGCAGATGCTTTCAATGTGGAGGACCATACAGTCCTAGCCATAAATGTCCTGACAAGAATCTACGAGTGTTAATTTTGGGAGAGAAATGGAGTTATCTGTTTTTTTCGGCAGGAGGTTTGTCACAGACAAACACTATGAAGTTACAAGGATGGTTTGCAAGGAAGAAAGGTCCTGATTTTGATTGACAGTGGTGCTAGTCATAATTTTATTTCAGATCAATTAGTGGCTGAATTGGGTTTGGCAGTGGACAAAACTATTCCTTAGAAAGTTAGTTTGAGAGATGGCCATCAAAAGACCACTAGTGGGATGTGTAAAAATTTACATTTACAATTGGAGGAGTTGGAGGTGCAGGAAGGTTTTTACCTCTTTGAATTAGGCGAAGTGGATTTAATTTTAGGAATTGCTTGGTTAGCTACATTGGGGGAAGTCAAAATTAACTGGAAGGATTTAACTATGTGCTTCATTCAAGCAGGGAAGGAGGTTTCTGTAAAGGGGGATCCTTCTTTAACCAAGAGGGTGATTACTCCAGCAACCTTATTCAAAGAAACAGAAATTGCAGTTAAATTGTTGCAGAACATGTGCTAACCTATGTTGTTAAGTATCTGAGTAGGAAACGTGACCAGAATAATCCCTCACACACTCAAAGTAAGCAAAATAATAATAAAAGAATGGAATTAAACTAAAGAATTTCTTTTATTGATGGTGATATCTGAATAACAAAAGTATACAATAATTGGGAGCATAACCTCCTTCAATTACTTGGGAGCATAACCTCCCGCATAGTCGTCTGTCAACCAAACTCAATAATCAAAAGTATACCCTTAACCCTAGACTCTAGCTTTATTTATAGTAATTATTTCCTACTCATCTCATACTAAATATCTTCCTAGAATATATCTATATTTAATATAAATATCCCTATATTTAATGTAAATATTCATGGTATATTTCCCTAGCATATATCATTAATTATAAATATCTTATATTGTATATTTTCCTGGAATATATATTTATTTACTCTAATTATCTTATACTGAATATTCTCCTCAAATATAGCTTCCTTTACTGTAATTAGTTCCTGCCCATCCTAACCGCTATGACAGTTAGGATGGTAGCTCTTCAACCGCTCGGCTCAGGTCCTTTGCTTCCCACTGTTCGTCCTGGTCGCTCCCCTTGTCCACCGTTCGGCCTACTCGCTCCTTGCCTTCCACCGTTCAGCCTAATCGCTCCTCGCCTTCCTCTGTTCGGCTTGCTTCCCCCTGCCTCCTACCGTTCGGCTCCCGCTCTTCACCACCTTCCACCGTTCGGCTAGACCTCTCCACGTCTTCCACCGTTCGGCTACCGTTCGGCCTTTACCGTCAATATCGTTCGGCCTCACTTCCCTCCTACCTTCCTTCTCCTTCTCATATACTTTCCGAACCTTATTATTACCCCTACCTTATACCGTAACATATGTGAAGGGAACTCTTCCCTTGGACACTGTTGAATGTTTTTAGACTTGTAATCCCGTAAATCTATCCATGTAATTGTTGAATGTTTAATTTGAGTGTTATTGCAGTATTAATCCTATTTTAGTGCTTAGACAGGTGGGTCCCATCACTTTTCGCCTTCAACTGCCAGAGACGGCCCGGATTCATCCTGTTTTTCATGTCTCCCAACTTAAGCTAGCTATTTGCAATCATCCAGTCAAACAGAACCTTCCAACTGAACTTTACATACTAGAACTCAATTGTTTTCCCTTTCAAGTCTTTAGATCACAGGGTGCAGCAGTATCATGGTATGTCAATTCCTCAACTCCTTATTTAGTGGCAAACAGGAGGACCTGAAGGTTCTACATGGGAAGATGAAGGAACCATTCGTGATCAATATCCAGATTTCCACCATGAGGACAAGGTTGTTCAGAATCCGGGGAGTATTGATAAGCCTGTATGTTAGGAAAAAAGTTAAAAATTAGAAGGTATAGAACAGTTGTCAGGGGTTGGACGATTTATGGGTAGTTAGAGGAGGTTAGAGAGAGTGATTTCGTTTAGTATGGTTGTCTTTTAAGGGGGAAACGGTTCCTTCTACAGGGGTGGTTTTTTGATTGTTGTTTCATAACAGGTGTTAACCTGTGTGAAGGGAACTCTTCCCTTGGACACTGTTGAATGTTTATATCCATGTAATTGTTGAATGTTTAATTTGAGTGTTACTGCAGTGTTAATCCTATAATTTGAATTCTTGAACTCAAGAATTCCTAACACAGGCGTTGAGAGCAAGCTAGCATGAGCTTGAGATTTCCTGAGGTTGAGTGTAGAAGTCCAGATTACAACCCAAATTCTCATTCCTTTTAAGTTCAACATGGAGAAATGCAAGAGTATGGTGTTCAGTGAAATCCAACCCAACATTTCCATATTTTTTGCAGGAGCCTCGCTATTACTTGTCTTTATTATTTTAGCTCTTAGTGACTCTTGAAAAGTCATTAATCTCTATTATAACAACCTTTCATAAATGAATTAGTCTAGGTAGTCAGAAATTGTAAATTTTGCTAATTATTGAGCAAGTCTCCTAACAAAAGGATACTAGAACTTTTCATTTTAGTGCTTATTAGATTTGATGTGATTGCCAAGGATGTAAAAAAATAATAAGTGCTACCAGCGAAGGTAAAAGTAGGTAGACATACATGAATACTAGCTCAATCTTTGCCAACAACTTAATCTCGCTAGATTAGATTGACTACACGGATTACACAATATTATTAGCTCGGTTGAAAACCAAACCTTGTCAACAATAATGAAAAAAATTGAAATCGAGAAGTACCATATAGTTATAAATTGATAAAAAGGACATCTTTTAGTGCGGTTGCAGGCAAAAAATAAAGCATCTCCTGCAAAGACTCTTATCTCAAGATCACCCATCCAAGTCCTCTCCTCACAGGGAGGTTCATTACTGTTGTCTTTGACCGTTGTGGTTGAACTGATAGATAGCTATTAGTTTAGCATATGTCCATAAATCAGTATTGAAAAATTATGCAACACTCTTTTTACCGGGGAAAAAGATGTACTATGTAGGGCTAATTTTGACATTAACTTACAGCAATATTTACCAAAGTAATATAAAGATGTACAATTTCACACGCAAATGTATAAATAAACAAAAAACTGAGGCAATTGTGTTTTAGAATGTCACAGATCACAAAAACAAGTGTACTATTGTACTCAATTCATGGCAAAAAAACAAAGGGAAAAATAACAAAGCAGGAAATAACCTTCTTCCTTGTTTCTAAAAAGAGGAAACCGAGTCGCGTCTCTTATTGACAACCTGCAAACATTTGGCATAAAATATGTTAAATATGTATCTCCCTTCCACATAAGCCAAGTGAGTGAATTGTAAGAACTTACCATAAACATCCTCACTACATAATTTCAGTTCCCACAGGATCAACAGAAAAATGAAGAGACAAAGATTTGTGAGCAATAGGCTGGAACTTAGAATGCCATACCTATTTTTCAATTCAAAGATAACTTAGAACCTTGCTGTACATGTTCCCAAGATATGGTTACAGTGGTAATAGTTTAGTTTTGTAAAGATACTTATATCATGAAGTTATATGAAAATTTGCTCATTAGAAGTTCATCTTAATAAGTTGATATGATAAAAATGGAAAAACTCAAAGGACATATTTAACATGGGGTTTTGGAAGATAAAAGGAGGAGCAGGATAATTTTTCATTTTTAAATTAAGAGAAATACATAATGTTTACTAAAATAAGCGAATGGTAAAAGAAAAATTACACTAATCTATCATTTTATGTCTTTTACCTTAAAAAGAGTACTAAATTAGAAATGAAAATTTTAACCTCTTCCTCTCCCCAACAAGAAAACCCATTCTCATAGAAACCTAAAAATGACCGCCACCCAACAAATTAGAATTAACATTTATCCAGAGAAAACGACAACACAAACCCAAATAAAATTTAGAATTATATTGTTTACAGAAAAAGGACACATTCAGAAACGTTTTCCATTAAAAATGTGGCAAGGAGATGAAATTATAATCTTCAATAAAATACAATACACACTACTGTAGACCAAAATTTGTAAGAAAAATAACAGCCAAAATTCCATTGTGCAAGAAACAATAAAAGGTTTCTTACATTTTTGTACTCTTTGCTGTTTATAAATATCTCAAATGCCTCAACTGCAAAAGAAATACCATCATCAACCAGTACCAGTGTTACAGTGAAAGGAAATCAGATGCTAAAGATAACGAGACTTAGGTTACCTGATCGAAATCGTATGACAATTCCATGAGTATACTCCTTAGAGCTTGGACTAAAATTCAAACCTGGGAATATAGTAATAACCCAGTTAGGCAGTTACAAAATAAAAATTCAGTGAAAAGGATATTCTTCATAACCTACTGCACTCCCACCAAGTGAGGTCAACCACACAGGTTGTTTTCAATATTTGAACTCGTGATCTCCTAGTTATTAGGCAGCAAGCTTTCCATTGTGCCAAAGCTCACCCTAACTTCCATACTATTCTTTTGTGAAAATTTTCAACTTTTGATGAGACAGCAGACCCAGAAAAATAAGGAAACAATTGTATAAGTGATGGTGGAACTGGATACCTTGAGTGAATTGGACTACCAAGGAAGGAGATTCCGACATCATCAATGCCAGAGAGGCCAATGCATCCTCTGCCTGGTTTCTCAGTGCAGACTCATTAAATGATATCAGAAGCAGAAACTCCACTCCATGGTTGAACTCCTGGCATATACATTGCAAGAATCAGAAACAGGACGTGACATACGTAATGAGATGTGAAGAAAAAAGTGACATCTAAATCTAAAATGTACAAGAACAAATATTGAGAGCATTGATGCATTAATGCCCGTTTTCTTTCAAAGTTTCTAATGTGAATAGAATTCGTGGCCCTGGCTTATGGTCAAATGAACATGTAATGAGCAAGTCTTCAATTTATAGTCCAACCTCTCCTTTGCGAAATATAGAAAGCATCTCATCATCCACTTCCGATTCAAAATCCACATTGACCAATCCCTGAAACAGAAATCAAATGAAAACCAAGTTAAACTGTTCACACGCAGAGGTTCACGCAGCAACAGCCGAAGAATAAAGAAACAGAGAATCGGTGTTTACATGTTGGTGCATACATGGCAGTAAGTCAGTACATGGTCCTTGAGAACCTTCAAGTAAAAGGGATTCTCATAAAACTTTTCAAGATTTTGCTTCTTCTGAAACCGCATAAACAGCGCATGCGTGTAACGCTCTGGATTTGGGGCAGAAACGCGCCCTAAAGAATCAACAAGGTCAATGGCAACAAAAGGAACTAACACTAGATTACATGTAGGGGAATTAATTTAAAGCACCGATAGATAAAGGTACGTAATTAGGGAATGCATATGATGAAGGCCGCTCCACCTAATGAAATTGCAATAACACCACCCATCTGGTACTGCGTAGTGTACAAGTAATCGAGCATGTCGTTCTCTTCCTCTTCTGATAAATCCTGCTTTGCTTTGAGAAGACAAACGTGTTCCACGATTTTTCTACAAGAAATTGAAACAGTCATATTCATATTTAAGAGGAGAAAATCGGAAATGCAACAATAAAAAGAACAGAGACCTTTTCCTATCAGAACCTAGGTTGGAACTTCGCCGGTCCGACCCACAAAGAACCGTTATCCTCTGATTCTTTCGCGCAGCTGGAAGGGAAATTCGAATTGATGTGAAAACGGTGATGTTACGTTAAAGAAAATGTAGATGAGTGAATTTGGATAAGGAGTTGAGAGTTGAAGGAGTAAACTCAAAGACCGTGAAAAGATAGAGGGGCCTGGGGGAACCGATGAGGGGCAGAAATAGAAATACAAGAGCAATAGCTTGAGCATTGCATCGCGAAACCCATTTTCTGCAGCTTTGCGCTTCTCTTCTCCGATGAAAGCGAGACTGAGTTTTATTTTATCACAAAAGCAAGAAATTTGCTGGAAAAAGAAAATGGGTGGACTGGGAAAAACCAACGCCTTTCATTTAAATACCACGCAAAATTGGCGCCTTACATTTTAAGTGAACTACACTTACAGCTGTTCACTCCGCGCACATTTATTATTCACTACTACATATTTAATATATTTTAAAATCACTTTTGATCCAAAAATTTAAAAATTAGTTTATGAATTTTTATACATTTTTTTTATCTCACTTGACTCTATTCAAATATTTCACAAACACGAGCCTTTTTACTTATATAACACACTTTACAGACATTATTATCATTGTACATAAAACCTTTCAAGATCAATAAAAATATTTCCTTTTAATTTCATACTTGTATTTTCTTTCAATTACTACTATGGAGCAAAAACTTTTTTTTAATGATAATATTTACAATCATTGTTATTGTTATTATTGTAGTTATTTTACACATAACTTCACTACCATTCTATCATATTTCACCATCCATTTTTTAATTAATCTATTTTTCCTTCTGCGAGCACATATATTAGCATTCATAGTCTATTTTTCCATTCATTTCTAAATGGGCTGACACGAAAAAAAAAAAACAGAATACATATTTTGTCTGTACTCGGGAATCTGGCCTGCAATGTCATAATAAAAAAGAAAAAAAAACTTTGAAAACAATATTAAGAAATCAACTTTAAATTTAATTACAATTTATTTTAAATTGTTCTTATCTCTATAAATCTTTAACACAATCTCTTATTTCGCTTGTTGAGTTGAATAAAAGAATTGAACTTTCGATCTACTAATTAATGTACAGAAAGTTACAAGACTAAGAAAATTAATATAGCATGGTTTAATATACAAGGATTCACAAATTATTACGAGTTGTTACAGATCACAACAGTTCATTAGCTGCAGCCTTGATGTATAAAATAAAAAATAAAAATTGTAAACAAATAAGACTAGGACAGAGCAGCAAGAACCTCCTGACTATTTCAGTCTACTAATCTAGTTTAGTCTGTCTGATACATTATCTATTTGAACTAATCCAACACTAGTTGAGAGCTAATCAGGAATTGTTCAGGTTTTGAAAAAGCTCTGGAAGATGAGCATTGGTCAGCTTCGTTCTCTTGTTGATTTCACTCTTCTTCTTCTTAGGCTTGGGCTTGGAAGAAATGCCTTGAATTTGTGCTGCACTCCTCCTCTTTGCAGTGTTGGTGGCGGGCTTCATTCCATTCTTTTGAAGATCCTTCTCTATATCAATCATATCACGAGGCAATTCAATACTCCGGAAAAGCTGTTTTAGATCATCATCCACCTTAATATGCAATTTGGGGTCGTTAGGGTAGGCAATGTCTTCCTGTGAATCAAAGTTGGATAGCAGCCAAATCTGCCCCGCAGCTTTCAAAGCCTAGAAACCGAAAAACATTTATATGCATTATTTTTACTCTGCAATTTGTGCAAAAACATTAACTAGCACTACAAGTTATCTAACTGAAGTCATTTTAATTCAACTTCATCAAATGGCTGTATTCTTATTTACATATTTCAGCATCATTTAAACCTCAATAAGAAAATAAGCAAGGTAGGTCTTGGAAAGGAGGAAAGACCAAACAGATGCAGATAAGTGAAAGGAGGAAAATTTCAATGGACTTTCTTCTACTACTAGGCAGGATGCCCTTCAAATTGAACTCATGCACTAAGAACACTTGAAATTCTGCCCGTTAATACAGCTCCAAAGTCCAACTCGATTATGTGTATCAGGAAAGGCTGAACTGCACTGAAGCTAGCAGCACCTCAACAGAAAGATTTTCTAATGACTGGTTAATAAAGTGTTTTGATTTCCTCGGTGCTAACCTAAATGCTATAGTGTAAATGTTAGGAGAAAGTGGCAAAAAATATTTTCAAAACAGACCAATGTGCACTCATGTTTCTCCAAAAAAAAGCATTATGTAGACATGAGTCCAATCTAAAAGAAATTATTACATACATCTAGTCTAGGAACAAAACAACCAATGTCCCGGAAAATCAATGCCAAGAAATGCTCAATGTTGGGGGGGCCTAATAAAAGTAATCTTACCTGCAAGTCTTCCATCACAGTGGGGTAAGCATCCTTTAAGTCAATAACAGCAAGGCCCTCAGGATACTTACGTATCAGTTGAAGAAGTTCTGTTTTGTCCTTAAGCCCGTACTTTGACTATAGACCAAAAGCAATCAAAAAATGTAGAACGTGTTATTTTCTAAAGGACCATCCGCATAAATGAATGTTAAGAACTACAGATATATCATGTGGTATGAATAAAAACCTTGTAAGAGAATCGTTGGCCATCATAATTCACTTTCGGGTTTTTCCTAAGATTCTCAAAGACATCCTTGTTAGCCTTTATGTCAACATAGCACGACTGGTTTATCTGCTCCGGTGTTAAAGCTTGTCTTGTCTGTCGGCAAACACATGAAGATAAGAGTATGATAAAACAAATCGATCAACCTTACACTGTATCAATCACCATTTCAGATTCATTAGCCACAAATTAACTTCAAGGCTGAAACAAAAGCATGGTTATACATGTCGTGTGGATTTTTATGGTTATATTATACACAACCGTAGACTATTACGGAAAAAAAAAATCTACCCTCAGGTGATTTAGGAACACAGTTTTGATATTTAGAACTGAAACTTTATTTGGATAAATTTCTTAATGAACACTAGTAGACATTATAAGAAAAAGATAAAATTGGACAATAAGTTAAAATCAACTTGTAAGCTTCAACTTTTATAGAAGTTCTCTCATTTAACTTCTCCAAAAGTTTATTTTACCTTTATGCATAAGATAATTTTTACTTATTGACTAGTTAATTTTAAATTTATCCAAGCAAGACCTAAGTGTTAGTGTTTCTTGAGAAGTTTAATTGAACATGCCCAGGTGTTTTCTGAGAAGTCCAAACAATGTCAAGTGTCTGTTGAAATCTTTATCCAAACAGGAGTTAAGATGCTCACAACCCAAAGCATGTAAGTGACAAGCAAAACTCCATTTTTAATTCTTCTACCATGCTGGTGACTATCTATCACTGATACCATAAAAAAATGAGAATAAAATTCAAACCCTATGAAACAAAGACTAATATAGTTGAAGGCAATTTGGATAGGCACCTCTAGAAGGAGATCAATAACACGCTTCATCTGAGCACCCACGGGGGCTTTCCGTATGCTGTTAATATGCTGGAGCCTCTCCGTGTCGTTTGAAAACTTAACCGCAGGGGGCACGTTTTTTCCATTGGCCGAACCATGTGAGGCAGATTTTTGGCTTGCTGCAATGCTTGACAGTGTCGCTTGGCACTTCTCTTGCTGCTTCTTGAACTTGTCTAACCTATCCTGCAACGCCATCTGAAAAGCGAAACACAAGAACTATGATTAAGTTATTCCCTTTGAAATTCCCAGCACTGAAAGTGTAAAACTGGAGTTGAGTGTGCAAATTGAGAGGGAAAAATTTGGGATTTCGGAAGAAAAAACAAACCCTAATAACGAGAAAGTAATAGCTCCCAGTGAGGGAAGTGGCAAAGAAACCAGAGACTTTGGAGGATTAGTAAGTATTGAGTTTTGAATGCTCTAATCTTGCAAGGAAAGTCGAAAATTGAGAGAGAAAGAGAGAGAAGCTAACCGTGAATGGAAGCAAACGACTTTTTGCCGTTACTGACTGGGCTTTGGTTTGGTTGGACTGGATTAGAGTCTGTACTGTCTAGAACTATCGCATATACTACTTGTCGTGAATATGTTAAGAATAGCAATTTTCAGAAAATAATTTCATTTTTTTATTAAAACTAATGAGAATCACGTGCAATTTTGTGTCCGAATTAGTTACCTACTATTTTTATATTAATATTAATATCGTTATTAATTTTAAGTTTATTTAAATTAATTTCTCTTTGTTATCTATACTATTATTAATACCTAATTTAAGTAAATTTTTAGAATTATTTAACTGTTGATTTTACCATTTTTTTAAATTTAATCATTTTTTAAAATTAAAATATTTTTTTAAGTTCAAAAATTATTTTCACAACAAATAAAAATTATCTATAAAAAAATTATAACAAATTATATATATTTATTTTTATAACTATAATAACAATAATTTTATTATTTTTTGTTATAATAGAAAAAAATGAATACTTGTAATGCATGTGTTTTTCCTAGTACTATATCTAAAGTGATTTTTTTTCCACATTTGTCTTTTTTCAAACTTAACTACTTTTTTAATTAAAAAATTGTTTACAAAGAATATTTCTTTCTCACTTTTATTTTTCAATTTTACACTTTAAATAATTTTTAAAATGAAAATAAATATTTTATAAATACTACCTTTTAAGTCACCCTTTGTTTAATTTAAAACATTTTTTTATTTGACCTTTTTTCAAACTTAAATAATAATCGTATTTTTTATTATCATAAAAAATAAACACACATAGCCATAGTGCTTATATTTTCACTAATACATTATAACATTATTTTTTTATTTTAGTGTAATTTATAATTATTTTGATGCAAAAGAAGTAATGTAAATGTATAATTATTTTAGTATATCTAATTAAAATTTTAGAAAATATTTTATAGGATTAAATATATTTGTAATGTTATATAAACAAATTTCTAAAAACATATATTTGATAAATTGAAAATTAATTAAAATAAACTAAAAATAAAAAAGGTAATGGACAAACCCAATCGAGTACATTGTGAGTAGGACAAATTATCAATATCAAATCGATTTTGTTCGATAAGTTAGTCTGAAACCGCACATTTTTTAGAACCAACAATGGATTAGACTACTACGTTTTACCACTTCTATATTAATTTATGAGAAAAAAAATATGCATATACTATAAAGTAATAGAAATAAATAGTTATTTTAATTAATGCTATTTTATGTGAGAAAGAGTAATTTTTTTTTCATCAATTAACTCAAAGAGAGAAAAATAATACTTCTTAATATACTTTTGTATTGAGTGCTTACATTTATTTGTGATTTTACTTTTAAAAATGTAAAAAAT